GATTCTCAATCATCAGCGTCTCCCTCCCATGGATAAAGTCTTGTTGTTCAAATTTCTTTTAAATCATGGCCCCCCAAGTGGTCCAAATGTCATATGACCAGCAGAGGTCACTGAAACTAGATCCTGTGATTGGATCACTAAAGTTCTGCTCCAGTTATGAACTGGATTTGATTTTTTGAAAGCATCATCCCACTTAGGGCTCACATGAAACTCATGAATAGAACAATCCCAAGACATTTTTCCCACATGACCTGCACGTATGAAGTACCACCAGGGATACACTGTGTGGTCTGTTGACCTGTCAGTACCCCCTTTCAATCACATCAACCTCAGGTCACGGACTGAGTCTCACTTTGTGACTCCAGTGTTTAATCCAGCACCTGACCATAACTGACAGGTACTCAAGGTGCGTCACTGAATGAACCACTGACCTCTACCCCAGCCTGTCCCTGAATAACAAAATGTTTGTAAAATACCAGTGTTCAAGAGAATTGAGAAAACAAACCACAGACTGGGAGAAAATGTTTGCTAATGATATATCTCATAAAGACTATTATCCAAAACATACAAAGAACTCTTAAACCTCAACAATAAGAAAACAAACAACTTGATTAAAAAATAAGCCAAGGACCTAACAGACACCTCACGAAAGATGACACACAGATGGCAAGAAAGTACATAAGATGATATCATCACATGTCATTAGGGAAATACAAATGAAAACGAGATACCACTACACACCTATTAGAATGGCCAAAATCCAGAACACTGACAATACCAAATGCCGGTGAGGATGTGGAGCAACAGGAACTCTCAGCCGGTGCTGGTGGGGATGCAAAATGGCACAGCCACTTTGGAAGACAGTTGGCAGTTTCTTACAAAGTTAAACATAGTCTTCCCATATGATCCAGCAATCATGCTCCTGTATTTACTCAAAGAGGTTGAAAACTTAAGTCCAAGCAAAACCCTGTATACACAGATGTTTACAGCAGCATTATTCATAATAATCGCCACAACTTGAAAGCTACCAAGATGTCCTTCAGTAGGTGAATGGATAAACAAAACTGTGGTACATCCAAACAATGGAATATTATTATTCAGTGCTAAAAAGAAATGAGGTATCAAGCCATGAAAACGTGAAGGATTACTAAGTGAAAGAAGAAATCTGAAAGACTGTATACCATATGATTCCAACTATGTAACACTGTGGGAAAGGCAAAACTGTGGAGGCAGTAAAAAGATGAGTGGAGGCCAAGGGTTGGGAGGGGGAGGGATGAACAGGCAGAGCACAGAGGCTTTAGGGCAGTAAAGGCCCTTTATGATATTATAATGATGGATACATGTCATTACACATTTATTCAAATGCATAGAATGTACAACACCAAGAATGAACCCTAATGTAAACTATGGACTTGGGTGAAAATAATGTGTCAGTGTTGGTTTATCAGATATAACAACGTACCACTCTGGTGGGAGATGTTGATAATGGGGGAGGCTATGCATGTGTGGGGCAGGGGGTAAGTGGGAAATCTTTGTATCTTTCTATTTGCTATGAACCTAAAACTGCTCTAAAAAAATATATTAAAAAATATACATAGTAGTGGTTTTCCCACTGTGAAATACATACATGTTATAGAAAATGCACATAATAAATTAAAAATGTAAAAAAAGAAAGTCACTCAATTAAATCCATCTAGAAGTAGCATTTCCTACAGACTTTGTTTTTTCAAGACTTGAGATTATATTGTAAATGCACCTTAACTTTTAGCAGAAACATTTTTCCAAGTTATTTTAAAACTATTCCTAGGGGGCTGGCCCGGTGGTGCAGCGGTTAAGTGCACATGTTCCGCTTCTCGGCGGCCTGGGGTTCGCCAGTTCCAATCCCGGGTGCGGACATGGCACCTCTCGGCAAAAACCATGCTGTGGTAGGCGTCCCGCATATAAAGTAGAGGAAGATGGGCATGGATGTTAGCTCAGGGCCAGTCTTCCTCAGCAAAAAGAGGAGGATTGGCAGTAGTTAGCTCAGGGCTAATCTTCCTCAAAAAAAACAAACAAAAAAACAAACAAAAAACTGTTTCTAAACATTACTTTTAACGGCTTCATAATATTCCATTACAAAGACACAATTAATTAGAATCACTTATGGACTACTTACAGCCCACTCAGACCATTGGATATTTAGGTTGTTTCCAATTTTTCACTATAGATTAAAAACAACTGAATCATCTCTGTGCATCAAACATGTACATTTTGGATATGGTCTCAGCTTCATCCCCAGAAGTGGGCTTATCTCGTGAGAATGCAGGAACACCTCAATACATTACAATTCAAATTTTAAAAACTAAATCAGACTTTACATTTATCCCTTAGTGAACTTCTTTTTTTATTGGGGCCCTCATTCTAGATGATTTTATCTTGATCATCTACTTGATTTAGCTACTAAATAAGCGATCCATCCCACCTCTGTGCCATCAGCAAAGCTGACAAACACACCTTCTGTATCTTCATCCACAACACTGGAAATAATGTTCAGTGGCTCAAGGCCAAGAATAGAACCTTACAGCACTCATTTCCAGACTCGCTTCTCGGCTGACTCAGTGTCACGAATTAACAGTTTTTGCATATGATTGTCAAATTAAACTAATAACACCATCCAGCCCACATTCTACCACTTATTTAATATGGACCATCACATCTTAAGAAACTACTAAATACTTTCGTAAAGCCAGAGTGCACCACAGCTGCTACATTTCTCTGATCCAAGTAACTGAACCATCAGATAAAACAGGAAAAGGGCTTCACTGGATGAGATCCGGCTGACTTCCGGTTATCCTTGCATCCTACAGCCACCCACTTTTAAGGAAAAAGCACTTCCATTTTGACTTTTTTCCAATGCTACAAAAGCACTATTTTCAAAGAATCGATTGTGCAACCTGTACAAAAGCGGGGTGACTACTGCTCAGTCGCTCCTACCTTGTAGCTCACCTGGGAAGCCCTCTGAATCATGGGTGGTTATGGACCCCCCAGGGTAAACTGTCTCTAAAATGCAGAGACCTGAACTAATTCACTTCAGCTGGTCCTCAAATCAGGCTGGTTTCCTGGGAATCATTTGCCTTAACCCCTGGGCTTGAATGAGTTACTCTGTGGCTATTATGAATCCTGGATTACAAATCGCTGGATCCTGGAGGCCTACCCTCTGGGGTTGTCATTTCTTGACAGCCCCCTCCTTGATGTTCCTTTATTATTGACTCTCAGAACCAAAGCTCCTGAGAATCTAATGTCATATGGCATTTCGCAGCCGTGACTCACATCTCACCAAGTTAGTACCCCAACATCATTCTCAGAGGATACACGCCAGGAGCCACCATCTAACCGTGCCAGCCACGAGTCGAAAATGAGAAGGCTTGAGAGATCTTGGGGTCACCAGAAATTGGTGGCACTATAGAGAACAGAGCCCAAGGCCCTCTCTAATCTGTACCATTTCCAACCATCAGAAAAATATTTCAAAGTCCCAGCCAGCAGCAACTCTGAAAGTGCTGCTGACTTGCCTAAAACAAATCATCTGCACACAAATATCTCAGATTCCATAATGTCATACTCCTACCCGGACAGCGATCCCAAACTCCCAAGCTTGGCATTCAAGTCTCTTGAAAACTGAGGTCACAAACCCACTGGCCTACAGGACTAAGAAGGGAATCCAAAGAGACTGGATTGAGGCAACAGGGAGCACAGGGACTATGACAATTTGGGACCACAAGGCCTGTCTCCCATCCACAGGGGGCAGCCACCACTCAGCTCTAGAGGATCACCTTGGTCTGATTCTTCAAGAGTCTCAAATCCAGAGGGTTTCTGGATTGTTCTCCTTTTTTTTTTTTTAAAGACCTTTGAATAGTCCAAATTATAAGACACTGAAAGCAGAAAACATTCTTTGGGCCACCCGTGGCTAAGCCCTACACTGTATTTTCACCCTAATCCACCTTTCCAACCTGATTTCTCCCTATTCTCTATCAAGAACCCTCTGTTCCTCACTCTCACACACACTGGGTACATCCCTAACTCCAAGCCTTTGTCCACGTTACACCCCCAACCTGTGCGCCACCACAAGACATCCCAACAGGCTCATCCCACACCCTCTGCCCTATTCCAAACAGTTCCTCCAAGCCACCCCAGCACAGGCTGCTTGCCCCTCCTCTGACCCTATGAGTACTTATTTTTCATTTTGGCACTTAATCATCTTGCCTTGTTCCTTAATCACAGCGATGTCTTATCTCTCCAACTAATCTGTAGACTTTTAATCTCTTCCTCATGCTCCCTTCCACCTTCAGCACTAGTAAGGGTAGCTCTGCACATCAGCAGCTCAATAAATACTTACTAGATGTGAAAATTCTCTACAACTGTTTTTCAAACTGTGGGTTATGATCCATCACAGAGTGCTTAAATCAACTCAGTGGGAGACAATAAGCATTTTTAATGAAAAATAATAGAAAACAAAAATATCAGAGGAGATTGCACCAAGGCACTTCACGAACCTAGATTTTTACATACATGATTATTCTAGGTCATGATGTAAATTTTATTTCTTAATGTAGGTTATGGTCAAAACAGTGCAGAATACACTGCTCTGCAAAGAGTAAATAAGCTCAACCACTGCTCCTTGCCTTTTTTTTTTTTTTGCCAGTCATATACTCCCTATAAACAAAAAACATCCCATGGACGCCTCTCCCCACCAAGTCAGCTTACCCAGCTACCTCACTGATTCTTCATCTCAAAGAAACAGGGAGGATAAGGAAATGCAATTACATTCTTCACTCATTCTGCAACTTCTTGCAATCATCCTTCAAATTCACCAGCTCTCAGATGTTGCAAGTTGAGGCCTGAGGAATTTGTTCAGCAAATCACCCTAAGTCACCCTTGCAACAAAAAAAGCAGAATTCGGAGCTCAGGGAAAACTGAACCAGCTCCCCTTTGCCGGCAGCCCACTGGATTCCAGAGAACGGGCAATGGCGCTGGTGAGGACGACCCCGTCCTGGGAAAGGCAGTGTCCCCAGGCCCAAAATTTTCTCCTTCCTCCTTCCAATCATTTTGCTGCTCCCCCATCTTGCTGCTTCCCCGCGCACCCCTATGAAGGACACCGGGATAAGCCTGAAGATCTCACTGGAAAGCAAACTTCAACTTGTCTCAAAGCCCAGCAATTCATATGTTTAGCAAACTCCATTCTACTTCCCTCTAGTCTCCAACCCCACCCTCAGGGTTAGAAGAATAAGTGTCCCATCCTCCTTGGAGCCTCAATTCCCCAGAGTCACTTTGCCAGGTCCAGGACCAGAGGGTATCATTTTAATGGCAATACACAACAGAGACTTCCAACTCAGACCCTCAGTCCCACTCACTAGCAACCTCTACTGCCTCCCTGTGACTGAGAAGATGCCACATTTATCCTCAGGAGTGCCTTCCCTCTCCCGGCTTTGGCAGCCTCTCCCACCAATCTCTGAGCTGCAGCTGCTTACAGGACACCTATGTTAGGATGTCTTGGCAAACACGAGAAACTTCTCTGCAGCCTGAGTGTCAATTACTTCTCTCCAACACACACATTTCCGATTTCTCCAGTTACAGACTACAGCAGCTCCAAGGCCCTGGCATCTAATCAGCTTCCACAAAGAATTAATTTCCATTCATCTCCTTCCTTCACCCTGCCCCTGTTAGCACGTTTCAACAGTAATGCTTCCAAAACCCTCCCTCTTTTCCATTTCCAGTTACCCCCGTCCAAACCCTGGACACCCCACAACTGCAACCGCCTACTAACAGATTTGTCTCCTAACGTTACTTTTAAAAACCTTTCCAATTAACCTTTCATTACATCACTCTCTGGCTCAAAAACCTTTCATGTCTCTCCAGAACACACAGGGTAAAGTGCAATTCCCCAGTCTGGCTTTCTAGGACTTTCACAATCTCAACCATTGTTCCTCTCCACCTTTATCTCCTACTGTTCAGGAAAGGTTCCCTAGACAGGCCACCTCCTTGTCTCTCTGGAAGGCCACGTTCATTGGCACCTCCAGGCCCATCTCAAGGGTCTCAGCCTCCAGGAATATAGTCCTTGCAATTCCTGCTTATAGCTCCCTTCTCCGAACTCCAATAGCACTATTCCATACCTCTCATATTGACCGTTAATTGTGCCCTAACTTGAGGTCTTATTTCACATGCTCTAGACTTTCTGTCTCTTCCATGAGATTATAACCGCTAAAGGAAATCATCTCATCTATCTGTGTATCCCCCCTCACTGAGATAACTGTCTGAACCTCTTCTCCTCTGGTAGTCCCGCTGCGACCTCTTGCACCTGTTACTTCTGCCTTTCTCGCCCTTGGGCCTTTGCCAGTGAGCTATTCTCCATATGTATAACTTATTTCAGAACTCAGTACTCTAAATCCATTCCCAACCGCTAACCTTCCCTTTGATATTCCCCCTACCCCTAGCCCCTGAGCATTTACAGTAATTTAGGCAGCCACAGAACATTAATTTGAACTTGAGCTCTCAAATCACTTCCACCTGGTCAGTAGGCTTTCTGAGGCCTTAGATTTCGTGTGTGCCTCTTAACATCTCCCAGAGAGCCTGGCATGGTGCTGAGAACACAGCACACCCTCAAAAGTACCTGTGGAGTTTAACTTAATTGCTCTGCTTCCTTGTGTTTCAAGTTCCTTGAGACTCGGAACCTCTGTTTACATAACACCTAGGAGGGTGGCAAAAATGCCTTCAACACCTGTTGATCACTCACTTTCAGGCAAACTGCACCAGATACACTTTTCTAGAAAGAGGAGTGTAAAGAACGTAGCGGTGGCCTGTAGGTAACCCCTGCGCCTGGAGGCCTGGCGTTATGGGACCGCCTGCCTGGTGAGCGCTCCAAAGCCACTGGGGATTAGCCAGCACTGCCTGAAATCAAGGAGGCAGCAGCACCCCCTCACCCCCTGGCAGGTGGGCTTCTTTAGATTTCTGAGTCAATCCCAAAGGGAAGGTGCTGAGCCCTGAACTCCAAGGCAAGGACGAAAACGCTGCCTTTGAGATTGTTTGCACATGACAAACTCCCTGTCCAGCCCCCGGCCCGCCCCCCCTGTCCCCACCCCGGGCACCGCACTTGCCCACGGTGCCAGCTCCAAGGAGGGCCAGGGGCCACCGGTGAGGAGAGGGAGGGTGAAACCGCGCGGAAGGAAGGGGGGGACAGAAAAGGACAGCCGGCCTCCGAGGTGGAGGGTGTGTCGCGGCGCGCGTCCCGGAGCCCGGCATTCGCTCGCTCGGCGGAGTGGGCAGGAACGCGCGGGGCGCCGGGAGGGCTGGGCGAGCAGCCCAGCCGGAAAGGGTCAGGGAGGGGGCAGCTCAGTCCTCGTCGTCGAGGCGACTCCGGACCAGCGCTCAAAGTTGGGGAGGGGGTGCCTTCGCGAGCGCCGGCGGCCAGCGACATAAACAAGGCGACGCACGGAGAGCGGGCGGCCGCCCCCACCCAGCCGGCGCGGGCACTGCCGCAGCGCCCCGCGCCCCGACCGGCCGCTGCCCGCCGCGCCGGCCCCCCGGGCCCTCAGGCCCCGGCCCGGCCCCGCGGGCGTGCGGAGCGGGGCAAGTTCCCGGCCGCCCCCGGCCCCGGGCTGCAGCGCCGCGAGGTCCCCGCGCAGCTCACCTCGCCCCGCCGCGAGCAACAGCGCGGGCCGGGCCGCTCCCGCTCGGACAGCTCGGCTCGGCTCAGCTCGGCGCTGCAGCGGCCGCGGCCCCTACCCGCCCACCCGGCGCGGCCCGCCGCTCCGCTCCGCTCCGGCCACCCGCCCGCCGAGGCTGCGTTCGCGCCCACCTGGCCGGCCTCCCTCCCTCTCCGGGACACTGCGCTCACGTACGCGGCTGCGGCCACAACCCGGCCCGGATTCCCCGCCCGGGAAGGGAGCGCAGGAGCGCGCCAGCCAGCCAGCGAAGGAGCGAGGCTCGGGACACACCCCCGGCGCCCTCCGCCAGCCCCCTCCCCGCCACAGGCGCCGCGCGCGCACGCGGCCGCGCGCCGGCCACGCGCGCCCGCGCCCTCCCCGCGCCCCCACCGCGCGCCCGCGATACGCACCCCCGGCCGCTCGTAGACAGTGGGCGCTCAATAAGTGCCCCAGCGACTCCTCGCGCACATGCGCACTTGAACCTGACCGAGATGTGACACACCCCCACCCCCAGCCCCACCCCCGAATCGGAACCGGCGGCTGCAGCCCCGAACCAAACTTGGGTGTTTGCCTTTTTTCGCTGGGCCGCAAACCGAGCCAAAGTTTCTTGCTGTTGTTTTTCCAGGCCTGGCTCTGAGACAGGCTTCTCCGAGAGGCCGAGCTCGCCGCAGGGCGGGAAAGGAAGCCAGAAAGCCCCGGGCGCCGCGGACCGAGCTCGGCGGGGGCGGTAGAGACCCGGGCTGCGCAGCCCGGAGCGCCCGGAGCGCGAGCGAAAGTACGAGAGAGGGAGGGCGCCTGGGAAGCAGCCTTTCCATTTTCCTCTTGATTTAATGTTTTCTTCTCCATTTTATGACATTTTACTCGTTTGTAGTTGCAAAGTGAGGCGTTATTTACTGTTTCTGGAATGGGAGAAAGTTAACTATTAGCTTTCAGCCCTTATGTAAACAATACCAGTTGCTTTTGGCACCGTTAAGCTCTGGCTTTTGTATAATTTGTAACAAGAAGCTGTTCCATTGTGTTGCTCTGTTTTTCAGAGATAAGAGCAGAGCCACACGGTAGTGAAGGGCCCCAGTGTCTCTCTGTATGGTCATATATATTCATATTCAAAGAAATGTCAGGATGAGAAGAGTGATAATTCCCCTACTCCGAAAAGTTTTTAAATATCTTTAGCATACTTGTTGAATCTGCAGTTCACCTTCAGTTTGAGGTATGCTGTTTTTCTTGCCGAGAGGCAGTGGGGAGTGTGCTGGAAACGACTAAAAGCTTTGCAGTCAAACCAGCCTGGCTTGCAATCCTGATTTAACTGCTGAACAAGCTTTATGATCTTCAGCAAGTTCTTTTATGTGTCTGAACCTCAGCTTTTTTATCTGTAAGGTGAAATTAAAAAACATAGGTATAGTGCCTAGCTCATACCAAGTAAGCAATAAATATTTCCCTTCCCCTATCTCCCACTATTTGTTAAATATGAAAAATATATAAAGAGAACCAAAATGCTTATAGGTCATTGGCTCTCAGTTGGGAGCAATTTTGCCCGCAGGAGACATTTGGCAATATCTGGAGACATTTTTGATTGTCACAACTGGAGAGGTGGGGGGAGATGGCTACTAGCATCTAGAAAGTGTAGGCCAAGGATGCTGCTAAACATCCTGCAAAGCACAGGACAGCCCCCACAACAGAGAATTATCTGGTCTAAAATGTCAATAGTGTCATTGTTGAGAAAGCCTATGCTATAGGATAATTCTGCTATGGAATAATTTGCCAAAGACTGGCTCTGCCTTTTAACTCTCATCCTCAAGGCAACATTCTTGTTTTGCATCAACACACAATGCCCTCCCTTAACGTGAAAATGCAGATTCAAATTTTACATTTTTTTATTAAAGGAAGGATTTTAGTTAATTAACAGTAACGTATGCTCCTGCATTATTAAGATATCTTATTCTATATTACGTATTGCTACAGTTCACAAATAGCTTTCTGTTCTTGCTTTATGTTCTTGTTTCCCTTTGTCCTCCAGCAATGGGTGTTTACTCACTTCTGTATATTCGACTCTCTGCTAAGTTCCTCATCTATCCTGAAGTTGATGATATGGTCTCTGCCCCCAAGGAACATACAACCTAGTTGGAAGTGGATTAATGCACATGCCACAATTAAGGACCAATACAAGTTAGCATATAATTAGGTTTTAATTGCAGCACCCAGTCTAAGGTGGCTCAGAGGAGAGAGAAATGAGTTCCGGTAACAGCCCAGTGCTGCTATGTGGCTGAGGTGTACGGTAAATGTTTGTTGGAAAAAATGAAATAGTGAAAGTTTTTTACATGAGGTAGGACTTGAACTAGTATATAAACTCTATTACAGTTTTAAATTGCTGGATTTCGTAAATGGATGTTGGTGCCTGACTGTGAGTTTATTTTTCTTAAAATATCTAGTTCAAACTTGTTACCAAACCTATGTATTTCCTAAAATGACTGATTTAATAAAACTGAAACAACCATTCCTTTGACAAATATTTGAGGGCCTGCTGTGTGCAGAGTGAACCAAAAGAGTCTCTACGTTTGAACAGACCCTGTAGCTTGTTCTGTCTGAGACTGTGTCTTGAGAACACAGACCGTCAAAAGGCATGTGCTCTCGCACAGCATGTAGTGCACTCATATTCCTTTTTCCTGCAGGTATGTACTTGCACAGAATGCATTCCAGAGTTTTGCACATTAACACAGACTCAGAGAGAACTTCCCATCACAAACATCCATTCCCAAACACACACCCAGCCCTCAGCACTTTCACACCGGACCCAGGCCCTGTCCGAAACACACACTGAACAGCACACCCGTTATGCAAGGCAAGATGTACTTAGAAATCCTATAACTTGTTGGTTTCCAATCTTGGCTCCCCCAACCCCTGATGACTAGAGCTTGCCCTTCTGGAGGCTGTCCCATCCTAGAACTGCATTTCACCTTGCTTCCTCCCACACCCTGGCCCCCTATTAAAATGTAAGGGTCTTGTACCTCTTTGCCATCAAAGTAATGAACTTCTTGGAGAGCATGTCCCATTAGCTGAGGTTAAGCAAAGCAGACCCAGCCCCTGCCTCGTATTATGAACACGTTTATAGGTGACGTTTTAGGGCCGTGTGAGTCTGAGATTGCCACTATCCCCAATCCCCGATGTAACTCGTTTCAGGCTTGCCTCCCTCCAGTCCCCTCTTTACACTAGTCACTTTCCTCTGCTTAAAACTCCTCAAAGGCTTCCTGTAGCTTTTATAATAAAGTCCCAGCATTGCTCATTAAGATCCTTCATGGTGTGGCTCCTAATTACTTCTCCAGCCGCCACTTGCCTCTCACTGCCTCTACCCCCACTCTGCACTCTAGACATGCTAAACTGAACTTTTGTCCTTTTGCCTGAGCAGACTTTTTCTTTGCTTGATACATGCTCTTTCTCTGCCTAGAACACTCTCCACCCTTCTCTCTCACCTCTTTCCCTGGCTAACCCTACCCATCCTTCAGGAGTCGGATGGCACTTTCTCTACCCTTCAAGACTGGATTAGGTGCCTCTGCTTTATGTCCAGTAGCAGCCTATGCTTACTCCACTGCACTGTACTGAAATCTCCATTCTCTCGTGCTAATCCCCTACAACACTAGACATTCTATGAGGACAAGGAGCAAGTCTTGTTTTCCACTGAATACCCAACATTTGGCACAGTGCCTGGAATGTATCAGGCACCTGATAAACTTTGGTTAATAATTAATTGCTAGTTGTACCTGGGGGACTGAGTAGAGCTATTTCATCCATGGTCCAGGCAATCTCTGGCTCAAAGGATGCCTCTGATGCTCAGTATTTCCAGTGCTGGCGAAGACGTTCTAACCATGTATTTAGAACAAGATGAGGCTTATGGAAGGAAGTGAGTCCTCAGGTTCCACCAGAGTCTCATTTTATACCTAACCTGGCTTCCTAAACTCCAGATTCTTGTCACCAATAACCTTGACATCTTTACTTGGACGTCCAATCAGATCTCGAATGTACCATGTCCAAAACCAGACTTCTGTTTTCTCTCCAAAATCTGCTTCTCCCCATCTCAGTAAATGGCAATTCCATTCTTCTAGTTGCTCAAGAACAAACAAACAAAACTTGAAGTCATCCTTAACTCCTTTTTCTCATACTCTGCATCCAATCCATCAGAAAATTCTGTTGGTTATATCTCTGAAACATATCCAGAATCCGGTTATGTCCCTCCATCTCCAGCACAGCTTCTCTAGCTGGACCACCATCTCTCAGACCTGGACTTGACAAGAGGCTCCTAACTGGTCTCCCTGCTTTTTCTGTTGCCTCCCTATGCTCTGTTCAACACCATGGCAGCCAGAGTGATCCAAAGTCAGATCATATCATCATTCTGCTCAAAACCTTCCATCGCTTCCCACCTCCCTCACTCCAAGGCCCTACTAAGTCTTGCCCCTAGTCAACTCTTTAGCTGCATCGCCCACCACTCTTCCTGGCTCACCCAGCACCAGCCACACTGGCCCCCTTGCTGTTCCTTAGACCCACTTCCAACTCAGCCATTCCAAGGCAGTTCCTGGGGGCTGTCATGATCTTCCTCCAGATATCCCCATGACTAGCTCCATCACTTTATTCAGGTCCCTACTCAAATGCACCCGTATGAGAAAGACATTCCCTCACTAGCCTATCTAAATTAGCCCCACCCAACCATCCCTTGGCCTTGCTTTATTTTTCTTCTTAGCACTTATCACCATCTGACAGCCCGTTTCCATCTGCTTGACTATAAGTTCAAGGATAGTAGACACTATATTTTTGTTTACTGCTGTATCCCCAGCTTCTGGAACAGTGTCTAGCATGTAGTAGGCATCCAAGAAATAATCATGAATCAAGGGTCTGGTTAGACTACCAAAAAGATACCCCTGGACCAGGTCCCTATCCACTGCTTTACTCTCAACTAGTCCCTCTGGAATTTAGCTATCTTACACTAGGGCATCAAGATACCAGCTGCCCAACTGTTCGCCACGCTGCTTCTCATCCACTTAGGCTAGGGACTTCTATTACCTCTATGATACACAATTCTAAACACAGCTTCCATATCACAACCTCAAACCAGGCTATGAATTTCAAATGAAAAGGGAAGTATTGCTAATTTTGCATTTGTAGTATACTTTATGCTTTTCTTTTGATTGAGAAAATCACAGTGTATCCTAGTGGACAAAAACAGGCCCAGCATCTATTTTCAGCATTTTCACTCTAAAAGGCACAAGACTCAGGAACTCTAAAGAGAAAGTAGTTTGCAGGAATGCCTGGGGCAAATGACATCTTCTCTCTGATCTACTCAATCTGTAAGGCTTTCTGGAGAAGGTGAGCTTTGTGTTACATTGAAGAAAAAGGATTGATAGGTTGCAAGTAGGTTGTTCAAAGCTTAAGGGTGTCCCTGG